AGATATTGCAACATGGCTGGTATAACTTGTGTTAGGAGAGCTGCACCTATCAAAGAGTGGTTTGACTTATTAAGCAATTTGGACTTTTCAGGCAAAAAGTGCTTTGTGTAAGTACAAGTTTTCAGTGAGGGACTTACAATAGCTGCAAAGGATGCTGCTGTCCTGTTGGCACAACAGAGGTGATGCTTTATCCTCAACATACTTTGTGTTTTGGGAGCATTCAGTTACAATGTCACAGAAGGCTCTGATTTTCAGGAAGAGCAGAGCACCCTGAGCTGCCTGAAAGGAGCACCCATGGGCTTGGCAGATGGCACAGCTGTATCAATTTCCTGCCATTATTTTTTTTGAGGCTCACTTGAAATTTGCCTTCCTCCACTTTGCAGCCAGTCATGAACTACAACCCATGGATGCTCCTCTACTTCATTTCCTTCTTGCTGATCGTGGCCTTCTTTGTCCTCAACATGTTCGTGGGGGTGGTGGTGGAGAATTTCCACAAGTGTCGACAGCACCAAGAGGAAGAAGAAGCCAAGAGGCGCGAGGAGAAGAGGCTACGCCGGCTGGAGAAAAAGAGAAGGAGTAAGGAGAAACAGATGGCTGGTCGGTAGTCTTTCCACATCTTTCTGAGTCCTGCTTGACCTTCCACACAATCCCCTCCTCCCTCCCCTTCCTGCCTCGTGTCTGGTGATCATTCTTCTCCCAAAAGCATGTCCAGCTATAAAATTTGCATGAAGGAAATAGTGTCATTTTAGGCTGAGCAAGGAGCCATGGAAGCCTTTTTAATGGCTGCATGATTTGCAATGACCTTTCTATTGGAGGTTATTTAAATTAAAATATAGTAATAATCAGACCTGGAGCTTCTTGGATAGCAGAGCTCAGTGTTACACAAATAGTGACAACTGCAAAGATCAGCAGTGCTGGATGGCACCATAAATCTTCTGAGTCATGAGCACTGTTGCTGATAACTGGATTCACTATTTGGTTTATTACAGCCTTGTAATGCCACAGTGATGTTACCTGTCCCATTTATCAAGCAGGTTTATTTATTGGCACAGTAGCACCACTGCTATTCAAGAGTGTAATAAAATAATGGAGCCATCTCATTCTAGTAACGCTTTAAAACTCCTTAGAGAAACATATCAATGCATTTGCTTGAGAAATACAGATTAGAAATAAAACAACCCGAAAAACAGATGAGGAGAGTAACTAACTAGACAAAATAGCACTGGTGCAAATTGAACCCAACTCCGAGCTGGATGTGCAAGTGTGCAGCCCTGACTAGAGGAGGCTCTGCAGGTGAAACAAGGAAAGATCTCTACTCTGCCAAAAGTCTCCAATGTGATATTTGTCTCTTAGTCTCTTTTTGTTTTAATGTGGTTGAGTAAGTAAGAAATAAGTTAGCCAGAGGCCACAGTTTGGAGGTGCTGTTTTTCTTGCATGCTCTCTTTTCTGACTGAACTTACTTCGTTGCCTTTTGTGTCTGTGGCCTCACACTTTCCCTCCCTGGTCAGTCTGCCTGCTGCTCTCTCCCTGTCCCCTTTCACACCTCTTCTCTATCTCTGACAGACTTTGGTACTGTTTAAGAGACTGTCTGATCAGGTGCTTGTTCCCAAAGCTGGTAATATTAAGTCTGGTTTACTTTTCAATAGCCTAAGAGGTGTTTAATAGCCTGGCACAGACAGGTTTAACCACATACCACGGTGCTGCCTCAGCCTTTCTCAGTTCAGCACTTACCCAACAATTTCCTTTGGTCACATCTTTCAGTCCCATGAGCTTCACAGGTTTTGTAACCGCTAGGATGTATCACAGCAGCCTCTGGACATCAAACTTGGGTTTGCCTCGCTGGTCAGTGGAAAGATGAAGGCTTCCCTCAAGAGCGGTGGAGGACACATTAGACTGTTCTCAGTTAAGTGGGATACAGATGGAAAGAGTCTTTTTTTGGTTGTTTTGGGTTTGGTTTTTTTTTTTTCCCATCAAGAAAGAGTCTTTTTTTGGTTGTTTTGGGTTTGGGTTTTTTTTTCCCATCAAGAAAATGCCTAGAAAGCTCTTTCAGTTAGTCCAAGTTCCCGAACACAGTTTCAAGCTGATGAGTTAGAAGAGGTTTTAAAAGGCTGGATAGAAAGATCCCTATTTAAAGTTGCAGCTTTGGAAAGCAGAAATTTCTGTAGAAGAAAAATAGATGTTTAGTTATTATTAATGACCTTATTTATAATGCTAGAGGAACTAGAGGAAGAAAAGACGTAAGTCAGGGCAATTTCCCAGCGGGAAGGAATCGCAAACCATCCTTGGAGATACAGTTATTCATTCAGTGCTATGAAATGCCTAATTAAAGAGGCAATAAACAGCTATTTTACTGAGGATCAAATATTGCTGAGTATTCAATCGCCATAAAAACCTTTCAAGAGCAAAGTATAAAGTCCTCCAAATCGCTTCAGAACAGTCTTCCTGATTCACATCCAGTGAAATGTTGTTTTTAATTGACCGTGTCCAGCTTTGCCCTCGGAGGCAACAGATGTCATTGCTTACCTTGATTCTGCACAGTGGGAACTTGCAGATCATATCAAGACTAGGGCTGTGATTGTGCCAGCAGCTGCATGGGGGTTCCTTTCAGCTGGGCTTCCTGAGTGACCTCAGATGCTCAAACCAACCTGTGGACGTCAGATACGGGCAGACATGGACATCTGA